TGATCTCTGCTTAAGGGAAACCCGTCTTGAGCTTCCCTAGCACATTAAACTCAATTTCAGCTCTCAGCTAAAATACCCCTACAAAGATAAGTTAAAAAGTTACAAACTCATCAGGACAAAGAATAGGAAAGAAGACTGCAAGCAACAGGCAATGCAAGTTTAAAAGTGAATGGAATGTAATAAAAGATTTAGTATGCCAGAACTACAAAGAAACAAGCTAAAAGGATATAGACCAGCGATTTTCAACCAGTGTGCCATAAGAGGATCTTAGTTAGCTATGCCACAAAAATTTTACAGATCATTGATTAAATTACTTTCAAAAGAAGTTCAAAGCACAGTAAGCATATTCTTTATTTTTTTATCAACATAGTTTAAATATGCCACAGAAGTTGAACTATAGGTTCAAGTGTGCCATGAGATTTAAAAAGCTGAAAAACATTGGAAGTTACCAACTAAATGGCAACATCCTCAACCAATCATAAAACAAATTGCTACCCCAGATAATACATTAGTATATCTGTGTACCCAATGATTTACTCTATCTCTGTCCATGAATGCCTCTCAGGAACCTCAACCTAACACATCCAAGAATAACTTACATTCCCTCTTCAAAACTATTGTTCCTCTTATATTTCCTATCTAAACACTAAACCAGAAACTTAGAACTCCCTTTCTCTCATCTAATATAGTCTACAATTTTTATACAGATTCTCTTATTTTCTTTAAAATATGTTCGCAACAATATATGCCCACCTTTACTACCCACTCGAAGGCTTGCCAGAACTACTAGTCTCCCAATATCCATTCTAGTGCCTCTGCAAATTATTCACCACAAAGCAACAAGAGATTCTTCTGAAATACGGATCAGTCCCCTGCTTAAAAGGCATTACATAATTTCTCATTATTCTTAAGATAAAGTCCAAGCTCTCTGACATGGCTAACAGTCTACCTGATCTAGCCCACGGATACTTTTCTCTCTAGAATCACTTCTCAACATTTCTTTCTTAACACACATACTCTTAATTTCTTCATAAGTGGCATGCCTCTTTTTTCGTCAGAAATTCATACAGGGATCATCCTCCTCTTGAGAGGGCTTACTTATCCTCCTTCTCAGATCTAACAGTTTAAAAGATCTTTTCTCTATAAAGTCTTTTTGATACATCTGGCCCCACATCCAATTCTCAAAACAGCATCAAAATCAAAAATTAAACAGTCCTATGTGTTGCTATAGTATCCTATATGTCTTTATAAGGTAGATGTAATAAGTGACATGATTGAAGTACGAATTTTTCAATTTCTACCACATGGCCTTGCAATAAGTATTTGCTAAATAAACATGATCTACCAGAACTATAAATTGTATTTGTCTTTGATTATCATTTTATTTTTCTCTTGAGAATAATTTGATCATCAGGAATGAATGTAACATGCAAATAATTGAAGTCATTAATTTTTTAAATGAAACAAAAGGACATAAGGATGTTAAAAATGGACAAACAACATTTAGGATAACAGGTACACTGAAATGGCCATATATTTAATGTTTTAAATTTATATTAAAGTATTAATATCATTTCATAATTCTTATAACCTATTACAATATAAACTTCTAATCACATATACCCATTTACTGTTTCTTTTTAGAGAAAAGGTGTCATCATGTTCCCCAGGCTAGTCACAAATTCCTGGCCTCAAGGGATCTGCCCACCATGGCTTCCCAAGTAGCTGTTACTATAAGCATTAAGCCACAACCCTCAGGTAATTATGAAAACATTTTTATAATTTAGAGATGGGGGTCTCACTCTGTTGCCCAGGCTTGTCTTGAAGTCCTGGCCTTTGCAATCTTCCTGCCTCAGTCTCCCAAAGTTCTGGGATTACAGGCAAGAGTCACCACACCTAGCCATCTACTTATGTTATATTCAAGTTCTATATTTTTCCCAGAAGATATGTTAACCAAAATGCATACTTAGACAAAAGAAATGATAGCTAACTGTAACATACAAGAAATCACTCCAACCTATTTTATGTACATTGAATCATACTGGTTTCTACTTATTTTTATAAATCATGTGAAATATATTCATTTCTAAAACTACTATAGTAATAAATTATTTCACTATAATCCTTCAAACAAAAAGATATTTATCTCTGTTCTCCTTACTGGATATTATAATACAATGTCTCAGGTGGCATGCATTCACTTACCCAGATCAGTAGGAAAAATTTAAATAGAAATAATGTTTTAAGACCAGCGGTTCTCAACCTTCCTAATACCGTGATGTATTTTCATTGTTACAAAGGGGTCATGACCCACAGGTTAAGAACCACTGCTTTAGACAGTGAGTTTATGTGTATTAAAAATAGAAATCAGTACCTACAATATACTGCATAGACAATTCTTAAAAAATTCTATTGCACAGACCTTTCTCAGTCTTAAACATGTGGCTAACAATATAGTACAAAGACTAGAAGAATGATCCCCATAACTTCAATGCCCTAGGATTAGCATGCTAGTATGACAGACACTATTTAATTATAAGATCAACTACATTTCTACAATACACAAAACTCATTATGTATTTACTGACAATAAATTCTGATATACCCCTGTCTCCTCCTAGACAAGTTTGCAAAGGCATTTTCTTCCAATATGAGTTAGTATATTTTTTATTCTTCACACATTCCACTCTATAACTAACAACTCAATTACATGAGCTTCTTCCACCTAGAAATAAAGGCATCATTGGCTACTGATACAGTCTTCTTAGGAATGTCATATAAGGGTCTGTTCAGAAGATGCTATAGTCTATTTACCATTTCTGCTTCATGATATGTGTAAATTCTGTACTCTTTCTTGAATTGTATTTTGATACAAAGATGTTTATTTCCAGTTTATAACCTTTTAATAAAAATCAGCTGTCCTCTCAAGTTTAATGAAAAGTTTTACCTCTTACTTATGTAATGCTTATACCAGCTAAAAACACTTTCACTCTTTTTATGTTATTGCTTTAATATAGCCTATATCAAATACTCAATCTTAGGCCTAGATCACCACTAAACTGGACATTTCATTCTTTTTTTTTTTTTAACTCACTCTAAACTTTTATTTTAGACTCTCATTAATTTTATAGAATTCTTCATTTACCTCATTAATCCTACCAGTTTACTAAGGGGTCTTTTTTATTTAAAAAAAAAAAAAGATAACAGTTTTTACCATTTTACAATAATTAGTGTAAAGGCACTAACTGACTAGTTGCAAAATATCTTTTTCATAGAGTACTTATTTCTTGACCACTTGTAAATAGTGGTGAAAGCCACTGCATAATATACATATAACAAAGGTTTTTCATGCATTTTCATAAAGTAATCACCTACATCCCTACAAAATCCAGCTTATAACTTTGGGAAGGGGAAAAAAACAGTCCTTATACTTTAAGAAACTGCTACAAAAGAAAATGAAGAAACAAAAAATCTGAGTTTTACTGACCTTATATAATTCTTTAAGAGCCACTTATGATGAAAATTCTTAAGGGAAGACCCAAAAGCCTCCACTTAGTTGCTAAAAGCTAGTACTTTCTTTTTTTTGAGACGGAGCCTCAAGCTATCCTCCCTGGGTAGAGTGCCATGGCATCACGCTCACAGCAACCTCCAACTCCTGGGCTCAAGCAAGTCTCCTGCCTCAGCCTCCCAAGTAGCTGGGACCACAGGCGCCCGCCACAACACCCGGCCATTTTTTGGTTGCAGCCATCATTGTTGTTCGGCGGCCCGGGCTGGGGACTCTAACCCGCCACCTTAGGTGCATGTGGCTGGCGCCTTAGCCGCTTGAGCCACAGGCGCCGAGCCTAAAAGCTAGTACTTTCACAGTTGATTTAATTTTACAAATATTATTCTGTCATCTCCCTTTTCTTTAGCATTTTCTCAAAAATAAATCTAAAAAAAAAAAAATCACTGATGCAGACTGAGCATGGTGCTTCACACTTATAATCCAAGCACTTTGGAAGGCTGAGGTGGGAGGACTGCTTGAGGTCCAGAATTCCAGACTAGCCTGGGAAACATAACATGAACTCATCTGTACAAAAAAATTTAAAAATTAGCCGAGTATGTGGCACCCATCTATAGCCTCAGATACCTGGGAAGCTGAGGCAGGAGGATCCCCTGAGCCTAGAAATTTAAGTGACAGTGAGCCACTGCACTCTTGCCACCAGGAAGACAGAACAAGATTCTGCTGGAGGAGGAGGAAGAGGAAGAGGAAGAAGGAGGAAGAAAGAAGAATAAAGAAGAGCAAAGAAGAAGAAAAAGAAGGGCAAAAAATAAATGATCAATTAATTTTAGTCTTTATTTTAAAAACAGATCATCTTAATTATCAGGGTATTATGAAGCTCAATTCCTTTGATGTTTAAAATGTAGAGAGCACACTCTAGAAACTAAACAATGCTCTTTTGTTCATATTAATTACAACCTTTATTAAATGGTAAAATGAAGAACAGAGAAACTTTATCAACTCAGAAAATTATTTACATTTGCTGTCAAATTGTGCTTAAGAATTATTCATTGAAAATGGTAAAAAGTAAACTTTACCAACTTTAGTAAATCAGACTTACCAAAAAAGGATACTGGATGGTTTGATGTAAATTGAACTACTCAATTATTACTTGCCAGTAAGATTACTCCACAAAAAGAAGCAGAATAACCCTTAAATTTTGTGAAATTCATAAAAAGCAACAAAGGTGTTAACAATTAAAACATATAAGTTCGTTTAAATTATTCTGAAGAAACTTTTTAAAAACTGTATAGCCATTTTACCAAAGCAATCGTAGACAAAGTTTTGTTAACTCTAACTTATTAACTTGCTATTATAAAGGTTTTAAGAAATGAAATACAAACCAAGCCTGACTATCTTCATACTTTTAAGGTCACAAAAATGTTATCACAAAAACATTAATGAGAATGCTAGTTACTTCTTCTATACTTCCTTGAAAACATAAACCAAACACACTTACTGTTGGTTTTTTTCATTTAGAGTATTCATGCCCTGGAGATCAGAAAGAGGTGTTCTAGGATTTTTCCGAGTTATACCTAGCAAAAAAAAAAAAGAAAAAAAAGAAGAAAACCAGAAATTTTCAAATCAATGCTAAGAAAAACAAAACATGAAATAATTTTTCTAAAGATAAATGAAATTAATGTACTTTAATAGTTAAGTATTTGCTAAATCTATCAGAAAATCTAAGTAATAAACTGAACCAAGTCCCATAACTGTCACTTACAAAACTGACTTAGTCAACAATGACCCCAATTAGGAAATATCCAAGGAATAACAAGGATAACTGGTCTGAAGGTCTACAAGTATACAAGTTCATTTTTCATTTTGTTATAAATGTTTAATATGTCCCTTCCCTATCATTTTTCATTAATAAATATACTGGTTACATGGATTACAGGTCTTAGACATCAGTTAGTATTACAGATAAATATGCTAAGATTCAAGGAAGACACATTGCTTCCTTAAAAATTACTAATATTTTTAAAATATAATTTTCTTCAAATTATATAAACATTTAAATGATATAAGGAGAAAGTTATCAATTTCCATAACATACACATATATATATATATATAAACATTTAATGTAGGTAAGATACATTGGCAATGAAGAAGCAAAAGTATCTTTATTCAAGATGACATAATGTTGTACATAGAAAATCCTAAGGAATCCAAAAAAAACTATTAAGACTAATAAATGGGTTCAGTGAAATCTTAGACAAATCAATATTCAAAAACATATGGCATTTCTATAAAATAACAATATTCTAAAAATGAAATTAAGAAAACAATTCCATTGATAAAACAATCTTACAGAAATAAATGTTAGCCAAAAAGCCAACTACACTAAAAACCACAAATCATTAAAAAAAGATATAGAAGATTCAATTTAAATGGAATGCTACCCATGTTTATGAACTGCAAAACAATGTTGTTAAAACAGCAATGCTCTCCAAATTGATCTACAGGTCAAAGCCATCTCTATTAACATCCCAGTTACTGCAGAAATGAACAAGCTAATCCCAACATCATATGTAAATTCAAAGGACCCAGGATAGCAAAAACAATCTTGCAAAGAAAAACAAAGTTGGAGGCTTCACACTTCCTGATTTCAAAATTTACCAAAAAGATGTAGTACTGACACAGTATGGTAGTGGCATAAAGACAGAAAAATAAGAAATGGAACACAGGGCGGCACCTGTGGCTCAGTGAGTAGGGCACTGGCCCCATATACCAAGGGTGGCAGGTTCAAACCCGGCCCCAGCCAAACCGCAACAAAAAATAGCCAGACGTTGTGGTGGACACCTGTAGTCCCAGCTACTCGGGAGGCTGAGGCAGGAGAATTGCCTAAGCCCAGGAGTTGGAGGTTGCTGTGAGCTGTGACTCGACAGCACTCTACCAAGGGCAATAAAGTGAGACTCTGTCTCTAAAAGAAACAAAAACCAAGAAACAGAACACAACTGAAAGTCAAGAAATAAACCCTTGCATTTGTGATAAACTGATTTTTTTATAAGAGTGCTGAGACAATTCTGCGGGAAAAGAACAAACATTCAACAAATGGTGCTATAAAAACTATATATCCACATGTAAAAGAATAAAGTTCAATCAAAGACATAAACATAAGAGCTAATGCTATGAAACTCCTTAAAACCTAAGAGCAAATCTTCCAGACATTAGATTAGGCAACAGTAACTTAAGATACAATACCAAAAGTACATGCAACCAAAGAAGAAATGGATAAACTGCACATCATCAAAACTGAAAACGTGCTTCAAAAGACACTATTTCAGAAAGTGAAAACATAACTCAGAGAATGGTAGAAATTATTTCTAAATCATATGTCTGATAAGGAATTTATATCCAGAATGTAGTAAGAACGCTTACAAATCAATAATAGTAAGATAATAACTCAATAAAAAGTGCACAGAGAATCTGAATAGTTATTTCTCCAAAGAAGACAAACAAATGACTCAGAAGAACAAGAAAAATGGCAAACATCATTAGTCCTCAGAGAATTACAAATCAAATCTACTAAATGTCACTTCCTACTCACTAGGATTGCTATAACAGAAAACACAGATAATAACTGTTGTCAAGGACCTGGAGAAATCAAAGCCTTCATACACAGCTGAATGTAAAATGATATAGTCATTTGGAAAACATTCCAGTTCATAAAAAAAATTAAACATATAATTACCATACAACCCAGCAATTCCATTTCTAAGTATATATATGCAAGAAAACTGACGATACGTGACCACACAAACACTGGTATTGGGAATATAATATGGCCTATGACCAACAAAACAGTACTTTGAACAACTTTATTCTATATATCTGAATTCATGTTTTAGTTCTATCTGTTCAATTCCTACTCCAAGGACACCAATTATTCCTATGATGGATTATCGCTGTCATAATCATCTCATGCTTCACCTCAATATAATTAAATGTTCAGCTATGTTACCTCTATTTCTTGAGCTCATAGAGGTATTGTTTTATGTTGCTTTGTTTTTTGAGACAGGGTCTCACTCCGTTGCCAGGTTAGAGTGCAGTGGCATCATCATAGCTCACTGCAACCTCAAGCTTTTGGGCTCAAGCAATCCTCCTGGCTCAGCCTACCGAGCAGCTGGTACTATAGGTGCAAACCACTATGCCTGGCTAATTTTTCTATTTTTTTTTGTAGAGATGAGTTCTTGTCCTTACTCAGGCTAGTCTTGAACTCCTGGCCTCCAAAGGTGCTAGAATTATAGGCATGAGCCACCACACAGCCAGGTGTTTTTCTGCTCTACTTGTTTTCATTAGCTCAAAATCTATTTTCAATATCTGATATTTTACAGTCTTGAATTTGTGCAATTGCTTCATTAGATTTATATTCTTCAATTCTTCTTTATAGTAAAATACTCACAGGAAATTTTCTTCTCTCTTTTGGAGTTATCTCCTCTACAAATAAAATAGAGTAATTCTACTTGGAGTATTATTTGACTTCCTTATTCCCCTCTAGGCAATGATTTTTACATCAATTATTAAATACTTTAAATATAAATGAGGCACAAGAAATAATATGCTAACCACTTGTAACTGATCACTCAAATTAAAAAATGAAACCCTGTGCCACTGCCTTCCCTGATCTCATTCCAAAATTATCAGATCCCAAGATCTTACACTTGTTGGAACAAAAAAGAACTTTAAAATAGCTATCATCGTTTTGGTAGGTCTTAGAAGAGAAAATGGTCTTAAGTTAACAGTAAATCTCAGAAGAGAAATATAAACTGTAAAAAGGAACAAAATGGATATTCTGGAACAGAAAAATAAAAATTTCTAAAATGTAAAATCCAGTATAGGGGTTTAAGAGGAGATTAAATTTCATATGGTAAAATACACATACCTACGTTTTAAGTACATAGTTGGATACATTTTGACAAATGTATTCATTACATAACCACCACCAAAAGAAAATACAGAACATTTCCATTATCCCCATCAACATTGTCCTTTCCTGGACGATCCCCTAAACTTACTCCCAGGACAAGGCAACCACGGATCTGCTGCTTATATAAACCAGTTTCTATTATCTAGAACAGTGGTTCTCAACCTTTCTAATGCCGTGACCCTTTAATACAGTGCTTCATGTTATAGTGACCCCCAACCATTAAAATTATTTTTGTTGCTACTTCATAACTGTAATTTTGCCACTGTTATGAATCGTAATGTAAATATCTGATATGCAAGATGGTCTTAGGCGACCCCTGTGAAAGGGTTGTTCAACGCCCGTTGAGAACCACTGATCTAGAATTTGATATAAATAGAACAAAACATTATGCCCTCTTCTGTGTAAGGATTTACTCAGCATAACATTTTAAAGATTCAATATGTTTTCAAATTCTCTCAGGTAAATACCTGGGAGATTCTGATAGAATACTGAAATTCATATAACATATGAAAAAATATATTGTTACAAAAACAACAAACTGTTTTCCAAAATAATTGTACCATTTGAAAATGATAAAGCCAAAAAACTGTATTAGAGTTCCAGTTCTTTCAAATCTTTACCATCAGTATTGTCAACTTCTTACATTTTACCCATTATAGGGTGTTAATGTGACCTCACTGCAATTATAATCTTCATTTCCTTAATGAAGGTGAACATCTTTCATGAGCCTATGGACCATACATATGTCTTATTCTGTGAAAGTGTATTTCAAATCTTTTGCTCATGTTAAAACAAACCTATTTAATCTTATTAGCCTAGGAATTCTTTCTATATCTTGTTTTTAAAGTCCATTGCCAGGTATCAATATTACAAACTATTAATAATACTCCTTATTAGCCTGTGGTAAACCTTTTATTTTTTTAATAATACCATTATCATTTGAAAGAGGTTTTCAATTTGCAAACTCCAATTTACCATTTTTTTCTTTTATATTAATGCTGTTATATGCATTAAAATCTGTGCCTGTTCCAAGACTGCAATAAGTTTTTTCCTCAGGTTTTCTTCTACAAATTTAATAGTTTGGGTCCTTTCTAAGAGCTGTATGACATATTTCAAATTCACTTATATGTATAATATAAGGTTCAAAGTTATCTTATAACATTTCCAGTTGATCTAGTGCCAACTGTTTGCAAGACTGTACTTTAACCTCATGGAATTATCCCAGTGGCCTTAGTAGAAAATCAACTAATCTTGTATCTTGGATCTATTTCTGTACTTTCCATTTGGTTCACTGATCTTTAAACCTTTACACCAGCAGTTCTCAACCTGTGGGTCGTGACCCCTTTGGGGGTCTCCTGCATATCAGATATTTACATTATGATTCATAACAGTAGCAAAATTACAGTTATGAAGTAGCAACGAAAATAATTTTATGGTTAGGGGTCACCACAGCATGAGGAATTATATTAAAGGGTCACAGCATTAGGAAGATTGAGAACCACTGCTTTACACCAAGAGAACAATGTCATTTTAACTATTTTAGTCACAAAACCATATACTGTTAAGTGCTCCAGGTTTATTCTTTACCAAAACTGTTTTGGTC